TCTGCGGATCGTATATTTATACGGGGTCTTGTATATTATTTATTAATCAATAAGAAGAGAGTTATCTGCAATGTTATGAAATAATCTTCCATGAGGGCCTAAGGCCCAAATATACAAAAATACAATTTCTAACATATATGCTCCTGCGTGAGCATAATTAAATTAACTTCTTAGGCAAAATCCTAACTCGAGTTATTTTTAGGGCCCTAAGTATTGGAAGTCATCCTTATGACAAACCTTGAAGAAAGAATTTCTATGTACATTTGCCAGAAAAGAATGATGTCTTATGATAGGCCTTAGGGGTGGCAATGGACCTCGACCTGACCCGGGGCCGGCCCGACAGGTAGACCAACTGGAGTCTGGGTATGGGTTCAAAAATTGGATCAGCGATTCGGGTCCAGGTTTGGATCATTCATGTCCCAATTTGTAAAATATATAAATGTACAAATATTTTAATTATTGGGTCAGGTCTAGGTCCAATAATATATTCTTCGGTCCTGGTTTGGGTAACCTGTTGCTACCACTATCTGGCATATGAATCAGTTGGTGGCCACTCAAAATGAGAAAAAGTGAAAGCGGGTTGGTATTGCGGCGACATGCTGTGGATACTTAAAATGTGCACAAGCACCTTATTAATGGTTCAAATTGAAACAACCTCATCTAAAGAACTAAAAATAAATATCATTTTTAATTTTTATTTAAAAATGATATTAATATGAAATTTAGGCTTTGGCTTCATTTAAGTAGAATTGAATAAAAAAATATTATATATAAAAATATTATTTCTTTAAACGCGAAATGTTTTTCAGTTTCCAGGTTTTGGAACTTATGTGTGCGTGTGCGCAATATTTTCCCAAAAGTACATTGAAACAACACAAATAATAACAAGCTTAATTCATCGAATTAGGGGTTTTTAATGGGCCGGGTACTGTTTGGGTTTGCGAGGCCCGAGCCTGGTCTGATGCTATGTAAGGTATGTCAAGCCCAGCCCAAAGCTGCCTAAATTTGTGATGGCAAGGCTCAAGCTAGAAAAATTAGGCTATTGGGCCGGGCCAAGACTAGCTCGGACTAGGACTGAAAATACATTGGGCCAAGTAAACCCATATTGCTAGCATTAAGATGTGGCCTAACCGTGGTCCGTATTTGGGCCTAGTATGAAAGGCCACAGGTTGACCCAGGCCCATTAACAGCTCTACCTGATGTGATATCTTTGCTTTTTGAAAAAAGTTTATATCAGGTTGCAACCTTAAAATGTAGCATTACAGATGCACCTAAAAAATCCATCGGAAAAGGTTGTTTTAATGTTGAAAAAAAGTATAAGTGATCATCTTGACATCAAGATGTATGAATATGGAAAAAAAAAAGATTCCAGTCCTAGAAATAGTGCATCTTGCAATACATTATCTAGACCGTCCATTTTCAACATTTTCATATTTTTATAGATCTATTTAGTTTTAACCATTTTTTTACATTAAAATTTTATAATTAGATATGAAAATATATTTTGAGATAATCTTAAGAATTTTTTTCACTAAAATTACATATTATGGTAAAATTTGGAGTTGCGCCTTAATTGGATTGTTTAAGGTTTGCAACCTTATAGAAACCACACCCCACGGAGGTAAAGGAGGCAAGAAAGCTAACTGAAAAGGAGGTAAATTAGGTGAACACCTGACCTAACAAGATATATAATTTGTATTTTTAGAGAGAGAGATCCAAACCACCATAGTGCCTTTAAAAGCATGGAAATGCCTAGAATACAATATTTAGACCGTCAATTTTCAAGATTTTCATATGCTTATAGATCTATTTAGTTTTAACCATTCTTTTAGATTAAAATTTAATTCGATATAAAAATAGATTTTAAGATAATCTTAAGATTTTTTTCACAAAAATTACGATAAAATTTGGAGGTGCGCCTTAATTGGATTGTTTAAAGTTTGCAACCTTATAGAAACCGCACCCCACTGAGGTAAAGGAGGCAAGAAAGGTAACTGAAAAGGAGGTAAATTAAGTGAACACCTGATCTAACGAGATATAGAATTTGCATTTTGAGAGAGAGATCCAAACCAACATAATGCCTTTAGAAACATGGAAATGCCCCGAGAGCAATCCAGCAGTAGTCCCATAAAAAAATCCATGAGAGAGAAAATGGAGAAATGGGAAACGTCAAACAAGGGAGGTACAAGGAAGCCAACAAACTGATGAAACGATGACTTGGTAAACTGCTTGTAGCAAAACAATAGAGAGAGAGCAGAAACCGTTTTCTCAAAAAAAAAGGAAAGGTGGGGTTTCAATAGAGAGAGAGGAGAAACCGTTTTCTCAAGCCGTTTATGGGATTACTGTTGGATGGCTCTCTAGGCATTTCCATGCATCTAGAGACACTATGTTGGTTTGGATCTCTCTCTCTCTTAAAATGCAAATTCTATATCTCGTTAGGTCAGGTGTTCACCTAATTTACCTCCTTTTCAGTTGGCTTTCTTGCCTCCTTTACCTTTAAGCTTGGTACGAATTGAATGATTGATGACATGTTTGTTCTGTGTTTTAAAACCCAGTGATTTTTCATTTAGACTGTTGATCTCAATCGGAATCTGTTGTAACTGAACTGGTTTCAGGATGGGCTGGTTTTTTGTTGGAGCAATGCTGGTTTTCTAGATCGGGGCTTATTATAAAGGGTGGCGTTTTAATACACCTTCTGCAAAGCCGAGGTTTTGGGGTTTTTGGAATGGCTTATTCTTCTGGGGTTTTCATTAGGCGGGATTATATTTCTCATCTTCTACAAATTTTGGCTAATGTTTGTCTAGTTTGTTCATGGTTCAATTGGGGGATTGAATTGTGCTGGTTCTGGGGTGGTTTTGGATCAGGTTCAGGAAGCAAAGCCTGTTCCTCTAAAGGAGGTCGGAGAATTGGAGAAGGGAGTTGATGGGGATTACCCCATGGTGCTCATTCAGATCCCCATGTGCAGTGAGAGAGAGGTACAATGGGTCTGGTTGCCAAATTTATTTCATTTTCTCCCGTAGCTTGAATCTTGTCTCACATCTCTCTCTCAGCTGCAATGGTTCCAACCGAAAAATACAAAGTTCAAAAAAACAAAGAAATGAAGGAAGAGAAAAAGTTGCAGATGATGGCATTTGTAGAAAGATATCTTAATGGCGGAAAGTTTAAAATGGCAGAAAGAGATTTTTTAATGGCGGGGAATGAATGGGAGAAAGATAAAATATATGTACTTTCGGAGAGAGAGAGAGCTTTAATGGCCAAAAATTTAGGAGAGAGAAAGTGTCCAAATAATAAACTTTGTATGATGTTTAGGGCAAATGAGCAATTAAAAAAAAAACAAAAAAACTAGAGGAGGGTGACGGTGGTAATTTGGAGCAAATGAAACAAAAAAAAAACTAGAGGAGGGGTGCTGGTGGTAAATTTCGAGCAAATGAGACTCCAAATGATAATTAACCCATCAAATAACGTCCGTACGTAATTTACACTTATATTTATGTACATGATATTTATTTCATGCAATTCAGTGGTAGGGCATCCATCCCTTTCCAAGACATACGGTCACGGTGGTGATAAACCATATTCACCAAAATGTTTTCTTCTCTAAAACACACTTCACCAACAAACCCAAATCTCAATAGTCAAACCAAAGGTACACAACTGAGGTCCAAATATAAAATAAATGATGTAATTTCTGGAAGGCCTGGACTTTTTTTTTTTTTTTGCCATGGCTACTAAATTTTATCGGAGGTAAGGCATAGACGTTATGAAACAAAAGTAAAGCTTCACTTCGAATCCTCCTTTGTAATACACTTTTGGCATAAAAAATCTCCATCATCATTTAAAATCGATTTCCAACATAATTATAAAATTTGAAGCTAAAAAAATGAGTAGAAACAAACGATCAGTATTACAACATACACAATGTTTATGATTCACAACTATAAGGGCTAAGGCCAAGCTGATGATTCACAACTATAAGGGCTAAGGCCAAGCTGATCGATTCGAAGGTTTTCGACATTAAGTGAGCTTTGAGATGAGGCTTTACGTATCTTAGAGGGAGTATTTTCCGAAAATCAAAACATTCAATAATTAAGAAAGTATATCGATCTTATCGTTGCGGTAGTGGATGATTGGTGTGATCAAGGTATGGGATAGCATAATAGTATGTATTGTCATCTTGAGAAGGGACCCATAAGTCAACGTGAATGCCTATTGGTGGACTTTCATACCAAGTCAGCCGCCCTTAATGGACCCCATGAGCCTACGTATGTATGGTTAAAGCATTCTATGCTCCCGCGGGAGCTTTTATTCTCTTTGCTCTCTAAGTAAAACCAACTTTAGAGTATAACCAACGCCAGAATATTTTGAGACTCAATTGCAACCTCTTCATAATATAACTTGACAAAAAAAAATCAGATATATTTTATACGTTTGAAAAAGCAACATCATAAAATATAGTAGAAACTTATCTGATGATCTAAGAGGGGTTGGTTTGCAAATGATATAAGAGGGTTTGGTTTGCATAAGGTGCCAACCTTAAACCATCTAATTAACGCATCTCCAAAGTTCATCATAATTTTGGTGATCGAGATTTCAATGATGATCGGAAAAACTACTTTACATCTAATTGTGAAATTTAAAATTAAAAAATGGTACAGACAAATATATGAAAATTTTGAGAGTGGACGGTGTACATGATGTATTTTAAAATGTATTATTTTTCATACTTCAAACTTTTTTTCTTTTTTTTTTTACATCTATATGTCTCGAGATTGTGATGTATGGTGTCGAAACAACTTTTTTCAAAAGATTTTTTTTTGGGCATGCCCTTTTTTTTTTACCTTATGTGTGCTTTTCCCGATCTAGCAAGTGTTCTATAACCCAAAAACCCACTTTCAAAATACTACAGGTGCTTGTTAATGGAGATAGCAAGGCTCCATATATAAAAAAAATCCCTAGAAAGCTCCCGTCACATGAGAGAGTAAATATACAGTAACATCCAACATAGGGATGCTATAAACTATGATAGTATCCTTTGATGACTCCGTGCACTAATGTTTCTATTCGCTGGCCTAGCCTTCCTTCCTCTGTCTATATTACTTCTGCACCCCTCTCGATCACACTGTTGATAGTCTCTCTTTCTCTCTCCTCTCGAATTTTAATACTCTCTCCTCTCACATTTTAATACTCTCTCTCTATATTCTCCCACAATTTCGTATATTAACGTTGGTTGTTAAAATGGAAAGAAGGCCGCACAACAGTTACGGCTGTAGCGGTTACAGAAACCGGAAGAGAGAGAGAATTGCAGAGGAAGAATGATTTAAATGGTTGAAATAGTGGGTATTTTTTGGGGGTTTTTGTATGGAGAGAGCGCAAAAAACAGCTTCGAATTGTGTGCAAAGCAAAGACTCCCCGTATTCGTTCTCTATTTCTAGGGTTATAGGTAAATCAAGTAGGAATTTTGATATCTGCATGTTCTAGGGTTTTTGGTTGGTCAAAGCGCGCTGGGTGATGACAGTGTTCTAGGGTTCGTTCGGTTCCTCTTCACCTCATTTTCCCTCTCAAGGTTTGTAGAGAAAAATCATCGCAATGGCTTTGATTTGTTGTGTTTCGGTCTATCAAGAAAGGCTATAAATCATACGAATGGAGTCAATTTTTTTGACATTTTCAGGAAATTCTTTCTATCTGTTATTCTTCGCTCTCGTGGTCACTGTTCTTTGTTGCCTTTATTCTATTTGGGGTTTCAAATTGAATACGAAGAGAAATAGGAGAGAGGAAATGGTGGGTAGTTCAAAGAAGAAGGCCTGTGAATGTAGTTGCAGTTGTGCTCGTTCTTCTTATGCAAATGGTAGTGCCGGTGAAAAGTATGAGAAGCCTGATAGGCAGTCCGGTGCTTCAATGATGGAGCAGTTGGTGCCGGAGATTACTACACATGCTTTGAGTTATCTAGATTATCCAAGCTTGTGCAGATTGTCCATGACCAATTCATCTATGAGGAGAGCAGCTAATGATGATAGCGCATGGAAATCATTATATCACAAGGTGCTATATACTCTTTCTTATTTTTCTTTTTGATAGATTACTACTAGCATGTTGAATTATTCTCTACAACAATATTTTCTTGATCGTGTTATTTCACTGGAATGACATATTTGCTCATCATATTTGCCCAAGATGTTATCTTTAATGATTTTCTTGCTATTCATCTTTGATTTTTGGAATAACTATGAAAAAGAAACTATTCATCTTTGCAGGATGAAAAATGTTGATTTCTTTGGCATCAATTATAAATTTCAGAATGATAAGCTGAGTAGAGTAGATTGTTTGCATGGTTTAGATACAATACAGGGTATTCGATGTAGATTGTTTGCATGGTTTAGATAAAATATATGGTATTCGATGAACTTTTGCTTTGGTTAAGAATCTTGGGTGCACACTTTTTTCTTAATTATTGTGGTGCTGTTTTTATTGTCTTTTTACAATAGATGCAATTATTGTGTCCTTGTTTATATGTTGTTGTTAAGTATAATAACCTTTGAACACTGGATCCTTGTGTTCTATATTCATGCTTAGGCATAAAGGCAGGCTCTCTTGTTCCATATATATATATATATATATATATTTGAAGTTGTTAACTGTATTATGTATAAATTATGGGGTTACTAGAAGTAGCAAGATACAAAAAATAGGCTACCCTGAGATTGGGTGCCCTGTAAAAAAGCCCACTAGGGGCCCTAAAAATCCAAACAATCTATACAATCAGTCACTGTAAAGGGGTCAGCAAGGGGAAAAAGTGGTAGACGACCCTGCTGTGGGATTGTTTGAAGCGGCCTCCCTAGCCAGAAGGTCGGCTTCAGGATTTTCTTCCCTCCAAATGTGATTCCAGGACACAGAGAGAGAGAGCTGCTGATGCTGCAAGATTTCATCAAAAATGTGAGCCAAGCGCCAGGGGTAGACTTAGAAGTGGCCCAAGAAATGGTGTTCTTTGAATCCCCTTTGATTTGTAGGACAAAGCAGCAATTAGGATTGAATTTTCTGAGGCCTGTGAGAAGGGCAAGGGCCTCGGCTAGGGTAGAGTCCACAGTCCAATGGGGAAGGAGAAGGAGAGGAGAGTGTTGCCAGTGTAGGATTTGAAAGTGCCCCCAACTCCTGAGGAGCCTGGGTTGCCGAGAGAGCAACCATCAAAGTCGAGTTTGATGATACCTACCACATGGACGATCGAGAGATTGTGGAGGGTCGCAAATGGACAAGGGCCTGCCAGTTTGAGTGAAATCAGCATGTGAAAAGTGTCTGAAAGTATGGTAGTGCGTGGCCCAAAAGGTGACAAGGTCTGGTATCTTGTCGACACCAATGCTGAACTGAGCATCTTTCCCCTCTAAAAGTTCTGTTGTTGCGTTCTAACCAGATGACCCAAACTGGGGCTGTTATGGCTGCTCTCCAAAGTGGAGTAAAGGTGAGGTATGGACACGGGGCAAGGTCCAATAAAAGAGGGTCAGTAATTCAGACGAAAGGGAGCTCGTGAAGTCGCAGGTGAGGAAAAGGTCGTTATTAGTTTCCTTGGCTCTAGTGCACATGACTTACCTATTGGGTAATGGGAGGCCCCTAACTTGGATTTGGTCAATGGTGAGAGCTCTTTGGGATAAAACAAGCCAGAGGAAAGCCTGAATTTTTGGAGTGGTGAAGGGGAACCAGGCTTTAGCCATAATAGAGGGAGGTTTGGGAGGGAAAGAAGGGGGAGAGGTGATCTTGTGGTACATGCAAGCCACAGTAAAGGATCCCGAAGGGGAAGGGGTCCAAATGAGTTTATCTTCGTGACTGGAGGGGAGAAAAAACTGGTCAAGGAGAGCCGACATGGCTGTGAACTCTTGGAGTTCTCTACCATAAGGTCTCTTCTGAACTCTGTGCTCCAAGATTTCACTGCAGAGTTCAGGGAGAAGTAGTCAGCTGTGGTAGCCAAAGGGTTTGTAGCCACTCGAGAAAGAAGAGGGAGGAGATTTTTCAGCGTGGATTGGCCAATCCACAAATCTTTCCAGAAGCTAATGCGATGACCGGCTCGAGGATGAAGACAGATGTTCAGTAGGAATTTATCCCGACTCCATAGGATGGATCTCCAAAGGCCCGAGATCCTACCACTGATTCTACTAGGGGGGAGCCAATCATCGCTGCCCAAACAGTATTTGTGGCAAATGACTTGCCTCCAAAGTTGGTCAAGTTGGGTGGCATTCCGTGACCACCAGTTCCGTAACAAAGCAAGGTTGTTGGCTTGGAGCTTGCGGATGCCTAGCCCATCCTGAGCGATGGGGGAACACACTTTGTCCCACGAAATAGGGTGGTGCTTGCGGCCCTCAGTACACCATATTTAATTGATTCAATGGAACTGTATCTTGATTGAAGCAAACACCATAGTGGATTCACTAGGCAAACAAGGGGTGATTAGCACCTTCCTCTATATATGCCAGACAAAATAACCATTTTTATACAAATTTCTCTAACAACATTTTTGTAACAAGGACTTGGTACCTTTATTAATACAAAATCTATTTAACCAAAAAAAAATTAAAATGAAATAATGGATTTAGCAAGATTTTGTTGTCAATTGGTTTTTCACTAGCCATATTCAATTTGCAAGATGAAAATGATGGTTTACGTCTCAGCTATTGAGTATAGATTTTAGAATGCTAACTTGTGTAGTTTATTTCTATGGTGTAAAGTAACCTTTGTGTTGGTTAAGAATTAGAGCAGGTCAATTCCCATATGCTGATGCATTATTGTTTCCTCATGCCTATAGAATTGTTATTGCATAAACGGTGCTAATAACCTTTTTTGAGAACTGGCTTCTTGGACTTCATTTTTGCCATTATGGCAAATCAGGCAAACTACTCTAGCAAAAAAGCGTTCTAGTTATCTTCTATACTTCTTTTCCTAGGATTTTAATCGCATGACTTTTGTCCTCCTTAGTTTCATTTCTGTAAAGGTTCCTTTTCAAATTTTATGAGCATCTCAAAAGAAAGGTTCCTTTTCAACTTTTATGAGCATCTCAAAAGAGAGTAGTATCATCCACAATTGCAAATGAGACACTTTCTTCCCATCCCCTCAGATAAACCCACTTCATTTTCATAACTAAGTAGCTCACTTTTGTTATTTCATGATGATAAGAAAATAATGGGAAGAAGGGTTTTCCTATCAGAGAGCTCTCAAAAGTCAAAATGGTCCCAAGGGTTTCTATAATCACAGAAGAGAAAGTAGTGAACTGCAAGCTCTTATCCCACCAATACTGTTGTTATCTAATGTTGTCTACATGATTTATTGATCCATTAAGATGATTGTAAGCATTTTCGGATTCTATGTAAATACAGGTCTTGTCTTTGGTTTTGGAATCTGTTATGTCACTGGCAACCTTTTTTCTTTATCTCGATCAGTAAAAACGTCTTGATTGTAAATGAAGTCGTGGGCAACCAATTCTCCACAAAAAAAATTCACTACCTTGAGCAGGAGTCCTTTGACTGTGGGAGAGTGGCATAACCTCCTGCATGTGCCTAGACAAAGCCTTAGGGATTGTCTTTTACATTCCACCAAGCAGTTTCATAGGTTTTTAAATCACTCAAATGTTTCTACTCTATTGTGGGACCAGCTTATTAATGTCATAAATTTGACATTAGTCCTTGTAAAAATCTCAGATTACACTGGAAATCTTTGAGAAACTTCATAATTAATTAACATCACAATTGTAGAAGTTAGACCAAGGATTGCCATGTAAACATTCTCTCCTGCATTTCTTGTTCCACATAATGTAACCATTGGGGTAACAAGTCTCATACCATCCTTCAGATCCTTATTAGTTGTATATATATAAAGTATGTCAATTAGAGTGTCCCTATTATCTCCTTCAATTACTCTTTTCAAGGATCCTTATTGACATAACTATCATAAAATAATATTTTTTATCTTTTTTGAGATCTCACCGACTTTAGCTCAGAGCTATGACTTACAATTGGGAGAAAACACTAATTAATAGAGAAAATATATAAATTTTTTTTCCCCTGCATCAAACTGTTGATATACCAAGTTAACTCCTCGACACAAATGACATTGCAGAGGGACAGATTGTGTGGCATGTTAACATGCGCCTACATGTCAACACATATCGTCGCTTCACAAAAGGGGGAAACTAATTTGTCTAGGTAACAACACTGGTCCTTAGTGAACAGTTGCAGTCCATCAAACCAAGAGCATCCGGAAAAGACTTAAAGATTGCTTTTTAAAAGCCCTTCTGTTAAAAACTCCCTTACCTGATCTCTTGAGGCAACAAGCTTCAGGCCTATTATTGTCAAAAAAAAAAAAACCTTTTGCAAGAACCTAGAACTTTCATCAAAGTGTACTTGTTGGTTTCATCAAAGTGTACATTGCATGTTGATGATATTTCTAGTGAACTAGATTGCACCGTTCGATGTGATAATTAACGTATCGTAAGGTTGGTATCAATTTTGGGTTTTCATGCTTGCACCAATGACATCATAGTTCAACATCATTTTGTTTATGAAATGGTTTGTGAAAGAGAGATTGAATTGGAGGCTTGAAGCTTGGGAAATCAGGTAGCACAGATTTTAAGTAACCAAGGGCTTGGAAAAGCCTAGTTTGAGTAATTTCGAGATGCTCCTGGTTTGATTAAGCATGCATGTATTTGTTTTGAAGGAACTTGTGCAGTACTTAATCTCTCTTCAATCTTAAGATAAACATTTTATTTTAAGGTAATAATGGCTGTCGAGTTTTCTTCTTCAAAGAACTCAACTTACTAACATTGTTATTTGGTTGCTGGAGTCTACTTACCCAGACTTGTATGCTTTTGTTGATTTAATGCAGTGTTGATCCATGACGCCAACTGATTTTTGTTGATCATTATCTCCATAATCATAATTGCATGCTGTATACAAATTTGATTTTGGGCTTGCAGAAAATCTTATATTCTATTTTTTATGTGGTATTTTCTTTGTGCTGCATCAGGATTTCACAGTTGAGCAGGACTCTATCAGACCAGCAAATGGATGGAAGGCATACTATGCTGCTACAAAAGCAGTTGTAAGTATAAATTCAGAATTTTACAACATCATCAGAGAGAGATCACTTCCAGAGATGAGTCATCTTTGGCTTCGAGCAGATTATGTGAAGTGTATCAATGGCTCTGGAGAGCTCTTCACCGGGTATGGATCAAAACTACTTGAATTCTTATACTTATCTAGCAAACTCCTTGGTTCTCAGGTTCTCATATATATGTGATACCAGTGTCTAGGTTTCCAATTTGACCTCCATTCTTCTCCTAATGATATAAAAAAGAAATAAAAGAATATCTTTACTTTTATGTCCTACTGAAACATTTTCTTATTTTGTACATCAATGGGAAAAATTGTCGTATCTTGTGCGCTCAAATCTTTGAAGACAGTTCTATTATGAGTTTACCTGCCAGACATGTTAATATCAATGTGGTAAACTATTTGTTGATATCTCTGTACAAGAAGTCTGTTATACGACCTGGTTAAGTACTATTTCATATAAGTCACATCATTTTCCATTATATCATCTTTCTTGAAACTGATGTGCGAAGTGTTATACATGACACACCACTGCAGTAAATTGTAGGGTGATGCCAGATGTTTCCTTGATTGTGGTCATTGACAGTGGTATATGCATTGACATGCAGTATGCATACAACCTGGCCTATGAGTTTAACATTGTTGAACACAACATTCATAACATAAGGTTAGGTGGGAATTCATTAAAAACTTTGAATGATTATCCTTCAAAGCTATATTGTTAAAATTTGCTTACAACAATTTGATGGCTTCTAATATATTTTAGTCTGTCATGTTTAAAGTCCATACCCCATTATCCTGGCTGAGAATTAGGTTGATCAGCGAGCATCTGAGCTGGATTCCCTCGGATTGATGTCTATGAAGATTTAGATATTTTCAGATCTGTCAGATCTGGCATATGGTGCCTGGAAGTTGTGATGATATTGGTATTTATTTTTATGGTTTCCTGATGAAATGTTTTAAAACTGAATAGTGGAAAAGCAAAATTTGTGAAATCAGCTCTAGTCATTTATTTGTATAGGTAAAATTTCCTTTTAACTCTCTCAATCTGGGTTGGAGTGAGCTTATTTTTGGGTTGGATTGTGCTTTAGTGGTCGAGTTATCTTATCCCCTCACTGCATGAGGACTATGGATATGGTATGCGTATTCCCTTCTTTTTTGAGATTGGTAATTTCTTAGCTTTTTAGTCCTCGTTTCTTTTCTGTAATGTATTAGTCAATGTACAATTCCTATCCATATTGGGTTTTATGACATTACACATATGGAATCATATTTATGTATGAATTGGCAAGCAATAAGTAGTCAAAGTACATTCACGTTTCTTTGATTTTGTATTCCTTTTTTTTTTTTCATCAATCATAAACTTAAATTCACAAGCCTATTTTTTAAAATTTGGTGTCAGTTGTCAATGTACCTTGACACTGGGGTCCGTAGTTCTTGGCGCTTGTCAACATGCCAAGTTCATGACACGTTTTTGAAACTTCAAAGACTTGAAACACTTCTCATTAACTTTTTTTTTAATTTCATTATGAAAGTATCAAGATCACTTAAATTCCACTTTCCCCCCTCTAAATGATGTCAAATGTGTTGTATCTGAAATGCTATTCTGGGTTGGATTTTGGACTTGTGTATCCATATTGGATGCTTACACATGTATGCCTTTGTAAAATAGTCGATATTGAAGGTGATAATATCAATTAATCAAGCATGGCATTTTAGTTCGCAAAATGTCATTATATGTGACTTAGAGTGGCTATTTTATACAAATGCTCAAGTGCTACGGATGCTGTATATATGATATGTTTATTCTTTTCATTAAGATTTTAGTTTTTTTGTAGATTTCAAAAAATTTCAAAAATTAAAGCTTGCCTGAAACATCAGGTGCCCGTGAGGCACCTCCAGGGCCCCCGATTGCCACTTGCCTTTGACTATGTATTTTTTCTTTATTGTATTTCATTGTATTGCCTTTTGACTATAGTGGTACTAGCATTCATGATTTTTTCAGTTCTCCTCCTCTTAAGGGGCCAGGATTGTGGAAAGGGTTCCCATCAAATTTTACTCTTGGATCCTCTTCTGGATTGAAAACTTGAACCGAATACGATAGTTGGATTGATTCTCCTTGTGGTTGCTCTGAAATTTGAGCTTGCTTGGAGAAAACTCTTCCATTTCTCTACCTCAGCAGATAGTTGTTGCTTAGTTTGGAACTTTGGCTTTTATGGAAGCTTTACAAATTTACAGAGTGGTTGTGGCATTAGCTCTTTTATTTGCAAATACTTGTGTTTAATCCTAAGAAATACATATGTAACCTCAAAGATCACAAACAATTAATAACTAGATAAGGTTATACGATCCCCACGAGAGCCAATTACATTTTCTCCCTCAGGCAAAACCCTAGTTATGAGTATTTTAAGAACCTCAAATTTGGAGGATATAGCCTACACAAACCTATTGACCAAAAATAAAATAAAATTTGAATATGCACTCCAGAAGTGAATTTAAAACATATGCCATACGATTGAACACAGACCATCCATTTTTTGGATGGTGAATTTCTTTTCTTTTTTGAAACTACTCATCTGGTGATCTTGAGTAGATCTTAAATTTTTTTATCAAGAAATTCCTCCTAAGTAGGTCTTTTGCCCGATGGAGCAAGTGTAAATTATGTTTTACATATTCATATAGCTGTATTCCTCTGATCTTTTAGATAACAGTAATATCACAGCTACTTCCCCAACTCTCTCCTGATAGTGCTTACAACATTTCAATCTTGGGCTTTCTGCATGAGATTCAGGATTACTTATTCATTTGAAATTCTTGGACACCTTTGAAGTCTTTCACTTGAAAAAGATACAGCTGTGTTATTATGCTGCAAGCAACCGAGTGATTTTAACAAGATTACCATCATTTCAATATTCTCTCTTTTTTGATCATGATATTTTGTTGGAAATAAAAAACACTTTAAAAGACATACACACTTCTTGGATTCAAGTTTCACATTCTCCAAATTGCATGTTAATGTGCTAAATGGAAAACATAGCTGCTATAAGGGAAATTTATTGAAATATAACTAATTTTTCAACCAGTTAAACAGTTTACCATTTTCAACTTTTCCAACTCATGGTCATGTGTATTTTGATGGGTATTTTGAAATTAAATCAAAAGATATAGGCAAAATCTTAAATAGCTGTTATTTGTAGATTTTGATTCCTTTCCGTTAATATAATTTCCTTTATTTTTCTTGCCCTTCTGAATGGAAGTGGAAACCTATAAATAAAACATGGTTATTTGCAGGTACAACTCAGTGATGGAAAGTTGGGGGGTGGCATTTAACTGGCACCAGCCGGTTAACTTCCAGGTCTGTGATGTTCGGGTCCGAGTTCTTAATGAAATGGCATGGGTCACCATGAAAGCCTTTACAAATGTGAACTCCTTCCATGTAACCAATGTATATGAGTTTCATGATAGCCGATGGTTTATGGTTCATCACCACAGCTCTATGATGCTCAACGACGGGGAGGTTGATCCACACATATTTGGTTAAAAAAGATTATACAAAAAGGGACAATAGAGAGTCATTTGTGGGGTATCAGCTTGCTTCACTTCTCTGCCATTTTGGTTTGGAGTTCTTGATGTTGCTGCTTCCCTGGGCCCTTTCTAAAAATGATGGGTCTCTCTCTCTCTCTCTCGCTCATCTCATTACTTGCTGAAAAAGATGTGAGATTTCTCTCTCATCTCATTACTTTCTGAAAAAGATGTGAAAGATTTGTTCAGTTGGAATACTAAACTCTTTAAAAGAAATTGTATAGATCATTGTGCAAAAACAATTTTTGGCGGATACGGTTGCAGAGTTGGAATGTCTTATTTTTTGAGTCTAGAAAAGGTGACAGAGAGTTATGTTGATGCATGCATATCTTCATGAATTCATGGTTATGGTATGTACATTGTTTTGAATGAAGCCGATTACTTCATGGCAACTAATGGAATACTATTGTTTACCTGAATTACAAAGACCTGCGATTGTTTCTACAATGTTTTCCAAAATGTACGTCGGCTGAGATCCGGAAGTCAAATAGTTCTATTCTCGACATGGAATGGAAAATCTTCAACTCCAGCCACCGGTTTGTCCTGGAATTTACAGCAAATTTACATAATTTGGTTTTATTTGTGTTAAATTTCGGCTGGGGTCTGTCAAAACTGTCAAGGATTTGGTAGTGAGAAAAGGAGAAGTGTTCTATGAGTCAGATGGTGCAAAACTTCAACATAAGATGGACGTTGTGTAAAGCACATGGGGTCAAATCAGATGTAGACGGTGCCAAAAACATCTTCCAACAAAACATATTTTGAAATTCATTTATTTTTTTCATATTTATGATCAGCTTGGTTTAGATGATGAATCCCAAAAATTTGGGATAAAAATTCCATCATCAAGGTGAATTTAGAGGGGTTTGGTTTAGATGATGAATCCCTAAAATTTTGGATAAAAATTCCATCTGCAAGGTGAATTTTAGAGGGGTCTGCATGTGTGCATAGGTTTTCTGACTCATGGAAACCCCATCCTTGAGAAAATTGGCCAACATATTATGTCAGTTGAAGTTTACAATGGAAACCCCATCCTGGAGAAAATTGGCTAACATATTACTTCAATTGAAGTTTACAATGAAATAATTTAATTGAACCACTTTTTTTTATTTGTGAATGAGGTATTAAAAAGGTATTGTATACAATGAGTCCATGTACCTATTATACAAAGAGGTCACAATTACTTATGTAAATTTGATCGCTTAGATGCGTCAAGGAGTTTGCTATTTTTTTTTTTAAAATTATGAGCTTAGTCCATAGAATAAATGAAGTGTTCTTTTTATAGATATTCATTGGAGAAGTTTTTCACTTTTTTCCATTTTAGCATTGTGAATTTAATAAAAATAACGCTATATACAAATTTTGGAAATAAAAAAATCTTTCGGAGGTCTATATTTAAGCATCTCACTTAAATGGATGACTTATATTAACTGGGCTAAAAAGACACTTTGTAGGGTGGTTTTTCAATTTTTTCTTTTTTTGTGATTGTTCTTTAAAATGAAAAAAGTATATATTTAAAAGTTTGTGTCAAACAAATACTTCGAACATGGTTTTTGAAGATGGTTTCATTATATTATTGTACAACAGTTGCATGAAATCATTCCCATATATATATATATATATATATATTATAACCATCTGTGAATGCACATATGCAACATATGCATATTTTCATACATATATGCGTGAGATATAACATATATAATTATATAAGTGCTTATCTACTGATATATGCAATTGGTAGAGTGATCTGGTTCAAAAGGCTATTAGCAAAATCGATATTGTTATAAAATTTGGCAGTACAGTAGAAATGATCAAATTTTAAAAAATATAAAAATACTACGAAAAATGCTAATCAAATATTTAAGTCAAGCTAAATTTAAAGCATATGGTAATCTATATAATAAACTGAGAACAAGAGAATGTGAAAAAGATGTCTTCAAATTAATAAAAGTAAGAGAGGAAAAATATAGGGATCAAAACCATATTAAATGCATAGAGAGCGAGGATCAAAGGGTCTTGGTGAAGCATGACGAGGTCAACGAAAGGTGGAGAGTTTATTTTAAAAATTTTTAACTGACGAACACAATGAGAACATAGCGGTATAAGGAATTGTTAGTACAAATGAGGGCGGGGGTCAGTTGTGATCGCCACGTATTATGAAGCTGAATGGAAAGTTCTATGGACAACAGTGAGATCAACTTTGCTTTATGGGGTGGAATGTTACGCATACAAAAACCAATATATCCATAGAATGAGTATAATGGAGATGAGGATGTTAAAATGAATGAGTCACATGACAAGTAGAAATGGAATTTGAAATGAATTTATTCGGGAGAATTTAGGAATGGCAACAATAAAAAATAAGATGAGAGATAGTAGACTTAGGTGGGTTGGCCATGTGTGGCATCAACTAAGTACAACACTTGTTAAGAGGTGCGAGTTAGTTCAAGTGGAAAGACTGAAAAAGACAAGGAATAGGGCCTAAAAGATGTGGTTGTAAGTAGTCTGAAAAGATATAGGAATTTATGGCATCAGTGATAGTATGACATTTAATAGAGCAGAATGACGAATCATGATTTATGTAACCAGCTCCAATTAATTGAAAAAAAGTTATAATGATGATGATGATGCAAACGTATAACATACATATACCCATACACACAACAACATACAAATATACGTGCATGCATGTATGCATACAAGACTATAGAATTACATATATTAATATTTATTATCTAAAACAACAGTACGGTGTTACCATATACGCATACAACATAGAAAGTAGACCATACACCCATGGTGTAGGTGGCGATACATGACGCACAACAAGGATATCCACCGTTTATTCTCAAGTTCGAATCCTGACAATCAATTCATCTGACATGGTTAATATCTATCGTTCATTCAGTAACGAAGAGTGGATATCACCATGGTGTATGGAATATCATACACTGGGGTATAATCCCCCAAATGAAGGAAAATGGATGAATGCAGCCGTGACCGTTAAAATGTTTTCCGTGAATGATGAAATATTAGGGAAAACTCCACATATGTATAAAATATATGTATGTCCCATTTGAAAGGATAGCTGGCTTTGTTTATACTGTCATGTCTAAATATTATTTTATTATTTGTAAATTTATCTACAAATCCATTTAAATGAAATTTGTAGCTTCGCCTCAACTAGCCAGGAGAAAATAACAAAGATACCCAACAAATTCTATGGATATCTTAGTAATTTTTCTATAAAAATGTTTTTCTGATTTTTTTGAGGTGCACTGTGCGAAAATCCCAAATTTCACTACAAAATGATATTTAAAATAAAATTAGACAAAATACTTTAAGTTATCTGATCAAAAGATCAAATGCTAAAAAATTGACTTATATGGGTAGTTATCTCAATTTTTTTTTTTTTTTTGACAAAAGTAGATTATTTTATTAGATAAAAAAAAGCCATACAAGTACAAGAAAATTATAACAAAGCTGGAGATGCAACTAATGAATCAAGAGAATCCCTTTTCTTCGCAAGATTATCCGCCACAAAATTTGCTTCTCTATAAATACGATTGAAAGTGATAATATTGTCAGATCCATGATTTCCAATCATAAAAACCTCAACCTCCATGATTCCCAATCTTCCATTCATCCAATGAGCAACATGGCCACATATATTTTTATAATTACGGGGAAATACTTTAAGCTATCCAACCAATATCAAACAATAAAAAATCGACTCATAACATTATATGTATAGTTATCCATCCAATCAAGATCAAACAATAAAAAATCGACTCCAGAAATGTTTGAAGACTTCCCCATGGCTCCATTTCTTGTCAAACAATCAGTCTGTGCGATTGGAACCTCAAGGAAGCCACAGGAAAATAAAATGCCTCGACTAAAGGAGACTAAAACATCTAACTAGCTCCTTCATTTAACTAATTTCTCTAGCAAGTTTGACATTTAGACCTGGTTAATTTGATTTCCTTGTTGAGTTACAAAATGATAAAGTTAAATAACATTTTTTAGAGATGATAAGCATCAAATGGTTCCATGGTCTAGTGGTCAGGACATTGGACTCTGAATCCAGTAACCCGAGTTCAAATCTCGGTGGAACCTTCATTTATTTTTATTTTTTCCATTTTAAACATTTTTGTTGGAAGACTGAGAGATTATTCCATCGCCAGAAATAATAATAATAAAAAAAAACAAATGTTTCAAATTTCCATTATCAAATAGAATCATTCACTTGGAGCCACACTGCGATTATCCCTTCTCTCTCTCTCTAGTCATCCATGGCAACAACAACCCCTTTTGAAATTTCCCACCACTCTTTCTCTCTCTTCCTTGGGCCTCAAAAAGGCCATTGCTCACGGGGAGGACCTTCCAACCTCTCTCTCCCCGGAGACACACCACCTCCAACCCTTACTTCTTGTTCCTCCTCCTTTTCTCACTCAGTCTCCTCCATTTCTCACTCTGTTTGTTGCTCTGCTTCTCTTGAAGTACCTGAGACTGGGCCAGAAGAGATATCTCCTTTACCCCTTGTTTCCGAAGATGGGTTTCTCGGCGAGGAGGAAGACGAGATTCAAGGTACTAGTAATGCCAGCTTGAGGTACCTCTCTCTTTCTCTCTTCCTTTGTCAATGTTCTCCCTTCATGGAGTCACAGAGAAAGCACAATCATCAGTTTTGTAACTATCTGAAACAAAATTTAGTTCCCATTTGTCATGACCGTTATGTGTTTTGCTATCCTATCAATGTTATTCATATAACTGTGGATTTAGCAGATGTCAAAAACAGCACTTGCTTTCACTGTGTTTCATTTCATTAAATATTTCTCTTGCAAGAGCTATAGGTATCCTGTTGTTTCTTGTTGCAAGTAGAACTGTTAAAAGGGCAATGCTTCTTAGCTTTTCTTTTTCTTGTATTCTTTGGAGAGGTGAAAAACCAGAAAATTTTTGCAAAAGAAAAATCAAACAACAGAGATTACGTGGTTCGGCGATTGTTGACATTCATGGAGCAGCAGGTCCTCTCTCCACCAAGAAAAATACATTGCAAACATGGATAGCACACGAGGCTATAAGCTCTCTCTCACAAGCCCTAAAATGGATGTTTTTGCTCTAGAAACGCTCCCAAAAAGGTTAAAAGAAAATTGTCCCTTTCTCTGTTATAACTTCTCTCTTATTACACACATGGTTTCTCTCCCTGTGACAACCTTTATGTAGAGAAGTTCAAAGAGGGAACCGAGTTCGTGCAGCCCTTCCCTTTTCTATTAGGTTTAGGATAGGGAATCTTTATCTTCAGTGGAAAGCACATGCCTGCCTTTGGTTTACACCTAGGTCCTTATACTGTAGGAAACCTATATTACTTAGAAAGAAAATAGTGAGTCCTATGAAACATGGACTTCACCATAACAATCTCCCACTTGAAGGGATGCTTCGAGTCTAGTTAATTTGCTTCAAGAAATTGTTGCTGATCAGTTACGAAACTATTAAGTAACTTTCAAGCCCCAAAATTGTTTTGCACCAAGTGAACTTGTTGCCTTCCCAATGGCCTTAGTCAACAATATCTGTTGGGTTGTCTTTAGAATTAATTTTATGAAGTAAAAGGTTTCCATCTTGTATCACATCACAAACAATGTTGGACAGCAATATGTTTATTCTTATCATGGAATATTTGATTCCTTACTAAAACCAATGAACTAACTTGTTTAACCAAATTGCTTCTTTAGATGCATGAGCGAGTGACATATACTTGGCTTTTTTAGAAGACAAAACCACATGACAGACTGCAACCTTGACAATTGCTTAATTGCACCACCTACCAAATAAACAAAGCATACACAGTAGTAGACCTTCAATCTTCATTTATCCAAGTCATTGCTAAGTTCTACCTTCTACGTCAACATAGCCAACAACTTTCAAATCCATCACTGGCATAACAAGTTCCCTTCAAAGAATGACGGATCCACTTCCCAACAATCTATTGACAGGGCCAGGATTTTCCATTTGTATACTCACAACCTTCATTGCTTCTTCTATATCAAATATGATGCTAACCATAACAAACATGAAACTTCCTACGGTTGATGAATATGGCCCTCGAGACATATGTCTTCTTTACATCAGTGCTAAGTGTTTCAAAGACAACTTCATGTGCATAGAAAACGGGTTAACTAGTCTAGCATTTTGATTGTTGAAGTGCCACAAAGCCTTATTCGCACAAATTTTTTTGAGTTAACCAGATTTTTCTTTGTTTTGATAATCAAAATGCTGTTTTTTTACAAAATTGGACCGAGCTCTTTTGTTTACAACTAATCATATGATTAGAATAAAAGAGAAAGAAGAGAGACCTGTGCATACAAAGAGTGTCATGTACAAAAATGGGTATTCTTTACACCCCATCTTGAGACATAAACCTTGATGGCTTAGGCTTCTGAGCTGAAAAGAGGTGGAGGGAGAGGAAAGGGGTGGATGACAAAAACAACAGATGGGTAAGAAGAGGGGGGGATTGCATTGGGATTACAGCAGAACAACCATCAGGAACCAAAATCTGGTACCTTAGGTCTAAATTACTCAAGCCTATGGTCTTTATGGATAACCATCTGCAAGGCCTTGGCTCCCCTGTTTGTGATCTGTATGTTATCTTGTTGACCTCTTACCACATGCGTTCGAAAGAGGCAAACAACTGACTGGTTATAGATTGGATTTGGTTGAAGATGAGTTTGAGTCTCTATGGGACCTCAAATGAACCCGATGCCCATGAAACTACATTTTTGGGATCATCTTCTATCAAAATATTCTTCTAGTAAACATTGAAGCTCAATATGAAAGAATCAAAGTATTTTTATTGCTACCTAAGTTCCTCCTTGAACCATGTAATGATTTAAGCCTACAAACCAAATTCTCCTTATCTTCTTCAATAAAATCCTCAAGTTGGGTCATAAACAGTTCATCTTTTAAGTTACCATACAAGAAACCATTTCTCACATCTAATTGTTGCAATTCTAAATCAATAACCACTACCATGCTAAAACAACTCTAATAATGGTCATGCGCACAACAAGAGAAAATATTTCATTGAAATTAATAATTGGCTTTTGACCATACATTTTCACCAATGCTGTTACGATGAGACTGTGGCTGAACTGATAAGGGCACCGATCTAGTCGAATCGGATCGATTCATGGCCAGACCAGTAAAATAAATAAAACATATAAAATACAAAAATACAAAAAAATTGAAAAAATATTGAAAACTATGCAAAAACAATAAAAATCTATAAAATTAAACAAAAGAAGGAAAATCCTTAGGAATTTTGATATCAATAATTCAATATGAATTATAAATAATAGAAAAACTGAAAATACAAAAAAGAAAAGGACAAAAACTCTTACTTGCAATCCTTCCCTTTTCTATTAGGTTTAAATAGCATTTTTATTTTCACAAGTTTTAGGGTAGTTTCGTTATCTTCATAAGAAAGCACATGAATTCCTTGAATCCAAATTCCTGTAAATTGGTAACCTGTAATTCTATTTAGAAAAGAAGCTAGCGAGTCCTGTGAAACGTGGACTTCACTGTAACATTCTTATGGATTTTAATTAGTGAATGAAAGCTCAACAGTCCAACCAGGGCAAGTGACTTGAACTTGCCTGAGTTTCTTAGATTCCGTGGTCTGCTGAGTTTTGGAACCAAACCTATGTGAACCTACCAATTCTGGCGTATTCCTAATATATTGTTGTATTTTTGTTTGGACTCAGCGGAGTCTGTCAGACCTGACTCAGGTTTGGGGATGCTATCAAGTCCTTATTGAGGTCCTTTCTTAACACTGATTTTAACTTTTGGGTTGTAATGAAATAAACGGTTGCTTTTGTGTTACTATGTGCTATTCATAGTGATGAAGCTTGTTCTAGGGAATCTATGGTGTGGGTAATTTTCTTGGGAGGTTTTCCAAAAAAATTGAAATTTAAAATAGAAGAAAAATATTGGAAGTTTAGAAAACAAGGAGAAAAATATCCGATTAGCATCAGGTTTCTATAAGTATTTGTTCTCTATATGCTTTTCATAAAGTTCCAATTTACATTTTTCTTATAAAATGATATTTGCATTGTAGTATGCATTTATTTTCTCGTAAAAAATAAAAATAATCTCACAAGAAAGAAAGTATGTTTTTGGACATATCCTGATCTTTTGATGATGGATTTTTCTTGAGAAAAGGTAATGATTTTGATTATATTTGTAAACTTTCACTCCTTTGAATCATACGTTTATAGCTTTTTAATATATTTGTTGAGTATCATCCATCTTGTTTCTTGTTTACGAAAATCTAGTAATTTTGAGTGTGTGCTTGCATGTTTTTCCTTTCTATGTATTAGGTTATTATTAGATTCATGTTGGGTTGATTTGTTAGTTTGCACCAAAATGTGGTATGTCTAGTTTCCTTTTCGAATATTTGGATCTATTACACTCCTTGTGAGAGAAGCATAAGTCCTGTATGGAGTGTCAATTTCATAATGAGACTGTGGGACAGTACTAATGCATTAGTATGCATGTGGCACTGAAGAGACTCCATAAGCAAGAAGTTTGGGCTGGATGGACTTCAAACATATCGGCCATCATCAGAGTATAGCTTGAAAATCCGCTCTTTCCATACAATGAAGTTGAGACACACATAGGAAGTTTACCTATGCTAAATTATGTGGAGTAGTATGCTAAATTATGTGGAGTAGGACAACATAGCTTTCTTACACAGTAAATGAAATAGGAATTCTTTTCTTCGTACATATCACGGTTGTAATAGACCTTGATTTCAGAGAAGAATTGGAACTTTTGTATTCCTAGTGAGTTTTTCAGCATACCCCAATAAGTAAATTTCATATGGGTTTCAACGATAGGAGAATGCCTCTCTTCTTAGTTATATGAAAAGTGTCTGGTTTTTCAGGGGTTGCAAGGGTTGTGGTAGAGAAGAAATAGAGAGGGGATGCAATGGTGAAGGGAGGATTCAAGGTGGAATAGCCACTGTTCCTGGTTTTGGGTGGTGGCCCATCAAGGCTTACAGGCCTTGCCCTGGTTTTGTGGCATCGGGTGGTAGGTACAGGCGCCAAGGTCAAAGCATGGATGAGGTGGCATCGGGTGGTGGGTACAGGCGCCAAGGTCAAAGCATGGATGAGGTTGCTTTTCGTAGAGATGAGCGTGGAAATGCCAATAGAACTAAACACGAAGTTCAATCAAGGTAAAATCATGCAATTTCTTATTTTACTGCTTTAGCTTTTATTCTGCAGAAAGAAATTTTTAGAAGGAAATTTATGCGTCAGTTGTGGAGTTTGATACTACGAGATTGTGGGTAGCTTAATGGATCTAGCATCATGTTTGTATTTGACATAGATGTATAACATTAGTAGTATGTTTATATGTTGCATGGGTATGAGCTATGTATTTATGTTACACATCTATGTACGACTTACTTTTTAGTTTGTTGTTGCAAAAACCAAACTTGATGAAGCCAAAGAATTGTGTTTTTGCATGCAACCTGTGCGTATCTATAAACATTGCCCGAGATTCCTTATATTAAGGATGGAGGACTCTTTTAAGTTATCAGCCCTAAACGCATACATGTGCATAAGTAATTGCGTAATAATGGGTGTTTGTACGTGTTTTGCATTCATACAACTGTCACTAAGGGCACATGCATATAGTATTGTTACTTTCTAATATTTTGATTTTTCTTACAGCAAAAAGAAGCCAAGCGCAAGGAGATTCAGGAGTTGAAATGCCTCAGAGCTCTTGTATCATTACTTTATTTTTGTACACCTTGTATTGTTACTACTCTACATATGCATGCCACGCATTTTGGAAATCTGATGTGCTTGAATGCACTTTTCCTTTTTCCATTTTCGAATATGATTTTCATTTTGGAATGTAAGCATGGTTTTTTATCAAAACCATGAGCCGGGAGCTCCATGCCACTTGGCGAACAAGCTGGAACCTTGTGCATATGATTATCTGAATTGCAAAGTTCAACACAAGATAGTCAAGTTTCACTATGAGGAGATTGGTAAAAAGACAAATCATCTTTGAAATTCGACATTGTTTATTACCCATAAATAAGCTATTTTGGATTGTAGAGGAAAAGAAAGTTGTGACATTGTTGTTGCTCCATTAAGGTTTTTATGTGCTGTAATGTTGAATGTTATTTAATTTTGGCAGTCTATTTTGTTGCAGTAGAACTTATTTAGAGTCCCCTTATCAAAAGTATTATAGCATTTATTATGGGGATGAAAAAATCCCGTGTTTATGTGTGTGCATGTATGTGCAGCACCTAATATGATCAATGAGCTCCGAGGAAGTGCATGGCATATACAATAAAATCCTATATTCCTGACTCTTATTAAAAATATTGTGCAAGTACTATGTGAAAGAGGAGCTTGGGGATTTAACATTTGTTCCTATATCAGATACTTATGGAAATCATTCTTCTCGATTTCTCATGTTGATACACTTATTAGATTAACCGTTTAGAATCAACAATTAGGGAAAGGACCATGACACTTCTGTATGCTCTTCAGTTTGCAACAAGTGAAAATGCACTTGGAATTTTAAAATTCTTCAAATATAAATAGGAAATGAACTTTTTTTAGAGCCAAAACGCCATTTGGTGCCTTACTTTATGGGTGCATTTGGATGATTATGAGTCGTGGATAGCACATCTTTATACGCTGGACCAACATCGGTGTTAGGTGTTGGGCTGTTATCTACAAAACTACGTAAAAGGTGCTGTGTCCATATGCCAGTAAGCAATTTGATGCTGCAAGTTATTCATTGCAACCAAACTCACCTGTGTGTGCGTGCGCGTGTGTTGATGTGTGCATATTTGAGTCGGTGTGTGCATATTCGAGTCGGTGTGTGCACGTGTATATGTGTCTTTCATAGTGGAGAGATCAGCAGTTGCATTCCCACAATTACTAATGAAGCATTTGAATAATTATAGCGTACTGATCATTTTTAGAATTATTAATCTGAAATTTTGCTAAGCAAATTATAGTGTAATCCAAACTCAACATTTAGCAGTTTGGAGTGTGTTAACTTCAGTTAAAAAGGACATTATGAGAAACTCAATCTTAGAGGTGTATTTGTGATTCTTTTAAAAAATGTTAGGGTTTTGGTCTTTTTTCTTTGTTTTAACCAAGTCTGATGACCAGTCAAATTGCTAAGTCAATAAGAACCGAACACTTTTATGGTTCGATGTCAAGTTCGGGTCCTCAACAAAACCCATTGTGGTACTTTATATTGTCTAGGGCATGGTGCTCAAGAAGGCTAAAATATTGTGGCGTAGCACCCGTTTTTAATGGAGTAGTCTTTACCTCCTACGCTTGGATGTAGGGTATTTTTTGGGTGGATCGGCAGAGATTTCATGCAACTACCACCACGACCCCAGCACCATTATCAATCTTGAATGTGGAGTTGTACCAATAATTAAAATCACACACCTTATATATTTAAGGGAAAATATCTCTTTATCTCTTATTTTTTACTTTTATATGTCATGAGACTTAAGGAATAAAAATATCACTTGTAAGCAAAAAGCTCCATATTTTCTATCTTCCAACCTCCTGGACTCTGTGACCGTGAACTTTTGATCCAAAAAAACACTAAAATGACACCCTTTCCAAATTTTTTTCTTTTCTGTTGGCATTCTCTCTCAATTCACCGTCTCTCCCTCAACTCCATCTCTCTTTAAAACCCAAAATTATAGAGAAGTTACCTTCACTACATCGTCTCTCTCCTCTCTCTTTAAAAATTATCTTCCCTCTCTACATCGACTCTCTTTGTAAAGACATATCAAAGTATAAAACTGGCTATATTGGTTAGACATAACTTTTTCTGAAGAGAGAGATGAGAGAGACGATGTAGAGAGGATAACTTCTCTACAACTTTGGGATTTAAAAAGAGAGATGGAGTTGAGAGGGAGACGGCGATTTGAAAGAGAGAAAAAAAATTGGAGAGAATGTCATTTTAGTGTTTCTTTGGATAAAAAATTAATGGTCAAAGAGGTCTAGGGGTTGTAAGATATAAAAGATGGAGAGTTCAATCCTTGGGACTCTGAGATATAATAGTAAAAAATAGGGGATAAAGAGATATTTTCCCTATGTTTAAAGGGTGCAGTTTGTATAGAGCCTAGGCTCTAAACAATCAAATTAGAGCCTACCTTCAAATAGTGTCAAGTAATGTGGTTTACATATTGGAAATATTTTTGATAGACTCAAAATATATTTTCATTGTATTTATAAAGTTTAAAGCTTCAAAAATAGTGTAGATCGAGAGATTTATGAAAACTTGAAAATTGATGGTAAAAAAATGCATTACAAATACACTATTTCCAAAACTTGAAACCTACTTTTTTCTTATGTCCATGCAAATAGATGATCAATTTGAGGATATTTGGGCATCAAAATAACATCTTCTAGTGAAATTTTTGAGGTAGGTTTTAATTGGATTGTTTAGAGCCTCGGCTCTATATAAACTTTAACCATGTTTAAGGGATGAAGTTTCTATGAAGCCTAGGCTTTTTTTTTGACAAGGTTACATAGGAATGGAACTAAGAGATGTTGTGCCATGAAAAGCCAGCATCTACCGTCTTGACTCAATCCCAATTCCTATGAAGCCTAGGCTTTAAGAAAACAAAATAAAGCCTCAGATCAAATCCTTGTCCCGAAAGTACATTCGGCAATGGAAATTTTATGAATTTTCAACACGGGCAATAAATTTTGAAACTAAAAAAAGTTACAAATCTTGCGGATAATTGAACACTCATTTTTAGGGTGAAATGGACAGTCTTGATAATCTGTTACAATATACACTATTTTTCGTACTTGAAATCTTTTTTTTTCTTTTCACAACTATAATATTCAACTTATGATAACTAATTTAAAGGTTTTTTAATGCTTGCATTGCAATTTTCAATGAGTTATGAAATGAGGCATTAGTTATTTTGAGAGGCTGCAGCCTTATCAAACAATTTCCGTATATATTTTCACCCATTTTTTATAGGATACGGTTTGTATAGAGCCTAGGCTCTAAACAATCAAATTAGAGCCTACCTTCAAATAGTGTCGAGAAATGTGATTTCAATAGTGGAAATATTTGTGATAGATTTAGAATATATTTTCATATTTATTTATAAAGTTTAAAGCTTAAAAAATACAGATCTATGAAAACTTGAAAGTCTTGAAAATTGACGGTCCAAAATGCGTTACAAAATATATGATTTCCAAAAACTTGAAATCCATTTTTTTTCTCATTTCGAAGAATCTTGATGTCGAGATAATCAATTTGAAGATATTTAGGCATCAAAACAACCACTTCTACTGAAAAATTTGAGGTAGGCTCAATTTTGATTGTTTAGAGCATCGGCTCTATATAAAATTTTCCCTTTTTTATAGGGATAAAGTTTCGATTAGTCCTAGGCTTTATGAAAACAAAATAAAGCTTCATCTCAAATCCTCATCTAGAAAACACTTTCAGTAATGAAAATCTCCATAATGGCTCTACAATCAATTTCCAACATAGACAATAAAGTTTGAAACTTAAAAATAGTATAGATCCTGTGGATCTATGAACACTTATTTTTAGGATGAAATGGACAATCTAGATAATTGATTACAATATTCACTATTTTTAGAGCTTAAAATCCTTTTCTTTTCACGACCCCTAATGTTTATGTATTGTAATTTTTGATGAGTTCTGAGGTGAGATTTTACTTATTTTGATAGGGCTACTATCCATTTCGCCTTAAAAATGAGTGTTCAATTATTTGTAAAATCTGTTACTTTTTTTAGTTTTAAATTTTATTATCTGTATTGAAAATAGATAAAATTTCTATAATCGAATATATTTTTAGAACAAGGATATGACGTAAAGCGTTATTTTGTTTTCTTAAGGCCTAGGCGTCATAGGAATCGAGCTTGGGTCGGTCAATATGGTAGAGGCACAACATTTAAGTTTCACTAGCATCTTTAAGTTTCATATCTAACATTAAAATAAAAAAAAAGAAAAAAAATAAAAAAAAAAAAAGCTTAAGCCCCATTGACACTTCATCCAATATGTACTGGGTACACATACGTGGTTACGTGAATTTAGATAGAAAAGACGATTCCCTGCCCTTTGCGATCTTTCACGTATTTTTTCTCTTTTGTTCTTACCGAAACATACAGTCGTCCATAACACGTGCCTATTACTGCGTTATTAGGACTGTCCATAACACGTGCCTATTGTTGCGTTATTATACAACTCTTTATGGTGCGGTGCATAGGGTTTGTCACTCAGAGGCTCTTCTCTCTCTCTGTAGAAATATTTCGCAGGAAATAATACTAATCTGGGTCCCTTTCTTCTCATTATTTTTGGATTGGGTCTTTGCAATGGATTTGGAAACTCAGAAGAAGATTGAGGAGACGGTTGCAGAGGTGTTGAGAGATGCAGACATGGCTGAGATAACAGAGTTCAAGGTGAGGAAACTTGCAGGGGAGAAGCTTGGCATGGACCTTTCTGGGAACCCTTACAAGAAAGTTGTGAAGAATGTGGTTCTCTCCTTTATTGCTTCCAAGAGAGAGGCACAACAAGAAGAAGACGAGAGAGACAGTAAGACCGAAAGTTGCGCGTCTAATAGAGAGTTTGATGCTAATGGGGACCCCATTATTTGCAGGGTAATCCAACAAAAGCACCCCCTCTCTCTCTATTTCTCTCTCTCTCTCTCTCTCTCTCTCTGTCTGTTTAAACTATTCACAATTGATCTTTCTTTCTTTGTTTTTGTGTTTTTTTTTCCCTTTCCAGACTGGTTTGTTTAAAACTGGACTGAACTTCTTTTTGTGTGGTTTTTTTGCTTGGAAAGATGTTTTCCTTTTTGTTGTTTTTTTTGCCGTTCTCTTTTCGAATTTTTTTGGAGTTTTTGCTTAATCAGTACTCAGATTTCTTCTTTCTCTCACTTGTTGTAGGGTGTGCAACATTCGACTCTAGTCAGATTGGATTAAGCTCTAAGCAACATGGATTGAGTTCATTGTTTTGTCGCACAACTAAATTAGATTTCTTGTCGGATAAAAATTAGCATGCGCACACGGTGTGTTGAATTTTATTTTTTTCCTTCTTTCTATTCCTCACATATTCTGGATTTCTCCAATGTTTTTCTTCTTTTCTCTTTTTTACTAAGGAGATTTCTCAATATATTTAAGGTAATGTATCCATTCTAGCTGTTCTAGACTTTGGTTCTGCTAAATATCTTTGTTTATTGTTTGTACAACAAAGTGAATTAACTGTTTTTTAGTTTTATTGGGGTAAGCTAAACTCCTCTGCCCTTTATTTGGTAGGATGAATATAAGTCAAACTCTTGTTTATAAGATGGGTTTGGAGCACGTGTCCTTGTTTTACAAAGAAGAATGCATTAAAGTAAAAGACGTTTCCTCTTTTTATATTATCTAGCACCTATCGAGTTCGTTTTATATAGTTAAACAAATTGGTTTCTAACTTATAACATCTATAAAAAATTTGGTTATGTTGCTATGATATGCAGATAGTTGCAAATAGATGCTCTATCTTTCTTAGTAACCTAGAAAGAGATGCGTAATACCAAGATTGATGCCATAGCTATCATGGCTTTCAAGTAGTTCAGGTATATGCAACAATATTTGGCCTGCTTTGTAAGAATTTTTTGATGAAGTTAGACTATGTTGTGTTAAAATTGTAAATGATGTGCAGCTTATGTCGAATTGTCTGATTATCAAAGTCTGTTTATTCAGTGGAAAGATGGCAAAACAAAGAAGGGAGACAGGTCTCTTCTAGGCGCTAGCTTAGGTAACGATTACCAAATTTTGGGTCAGGGCTCCCTCTTTTGCTAGGTTGTACCTGCTGCTGCATTGTCCTCTATCCAAGAGTTCTTGAAAGCTACATATAGTGGCCTGGTAGTGTCAGAAATTTGGTTAAAAATGGATTTCAGTTCCCAAGGGTGTGGGGAATTACCAAAGAGCTTGGGAGCTCTGGTAAATTTGTGTCCAATAGGTTCCTCCTTAACCTGGAGATAAATTTGAGATAATAGTTTGAGACACTGAAGGATCATGGATATTAGCAATAAAGAATCATCTAGAAAAGTGATTCCAAACTGGAATCGCCCACCCACAGGTCCTTGCAGTATCTAATCCATATTTGGCCCTATATGTTTGCAAATAAAACCTTAGTATGCCAAGACAATTGCCTTCTAAGACCTGACTCATGCGCATTGGCTATGGCCTTGAGAAGCCAACTTGAACTATTCAAGCCATATTTGTGATGAACCACTTGGTTCGTAAATCACTGCCACCACTTACCTAAGATCACAATATTGCAGTCTCTTATTTTCCTAATACCCAGCTGCCAGTTCTCTTTGGATTACAAATAGTATGCCCCTTCCCCACAAAAAGAGTCTCATAACTCTCTTTAGTTGGTTGACAATGGACATCAGTATCCTGAAGGGACTCTTGAACATGGGGATGTTAGAGAAGGGGGCTTTGATTGGGGTGATCCTGCCACCGGAGAAAGGGTAACAGCCCATGAAGGCTGCAAGCTTTCGTTCAAAACACTCAAATACGGATCCAATAGCACTTTACATGGCCTAACTATGCAAGGAGGAAGGCACAAGTGCTAACTGGTTTGGGTATCCATACCATAACCCAAACTTTTGGCTGATGGAAAAGCATGCAAGGGAAAGGCCAACCCAACAACTTGGTTTTGGCCATATTTACCTTGAACATCAAGGAAAAACAGAATGCCTGAGGAACAGCCAAATATTTTCTACTTATTAGGAGTTGGCATTGCAAAAGATTCGCATGTCATTGCATGCTGGAGGGGAGAAATAAATAAGCCTTGCTTTGAAAATTTGAATCCTTGAAGCAAAGTGTGCTTAAAGAGTTTCGCTATATATTTATTGAGCACCTTGCACATTATGGCTGACAGTAAGGGTGAGAGAGGGTCTCCTTGTTGGGGACCGATGTTAGTTAGGGATTAACCACTATGGGAGCTGTTCATAATGACAAGGGACTGTGGGATGAAATGCATCCCTTGATCAAAGACCTCTATTTTGCATCGAAACCCATACAAGTTAGTTCTTGGCGTAGAATGGGCCAGGCTTGCATGACTAGTCCATACCGTCTCCACTAACTTATGGACTAGGCTAAGAATCTTTTACAAGTGCCTGGCATGATAGCAATTGTGTGCATGTGTATCTTGGAGGAATGCCCCTTTGCAAGATGGAAATAACATGGTTTAAAACATATCTTACGTGTGAAGCCAAAATTTCAAACAAAATTCTATAGGAGCTGCTAAGTAGGCTTATGGGCCTAAAAACATTGAGTTCCTCAGCCCTTAGCTTAGGAACCAATGCCGTGGAGGTGGAGTCCAGCCCTTTATGTACGATCCCCTATGAAAGAACGATGAGAAAAGTGCTTGGAAGAGCGCAATCGAGAAAGCATTGAGGAGTAGGGCCTTGCCTTGATTTAGAGTTGCACTGCCCCAAGATTTCTGCTTTCGAGAAAGGCCTTCTAACCTATCAGCCTAATCTCTAGGGGAGGAGCCTTCTAACCTATCAGCCTAATCTCTAGGGGAGGAGCGGAGTGGGAGATTGGAAATACTCAGTAGTGGAGATAACTTTTGGAAGTAGCTTAATAGAACAACACTAATTTGTTTGTGGTTCTCATTGGCAATGTTGAAAAATTTGGTCGGTTTGCCACCTAGGTCTTCGAGGGCCTATGATTCACCTCCTAGGTGTATGAGGCATAATTACAAGGATCGCCCAAGAAGTTGGTCGTTCCGGCTCTGGAAGCTTGTTCCTGTTTTTCGAGACAAGGAATCACGATTCCAGATTTTTTTGAATTAAGGATCTCGATCTACAACATTGGGGACCTAGATCCCTGGTTAATGGGATCCAGATCCCTCTTCCAAATGATGGGTCCATGAGTAAGTGGAGTCGGGCCTCCACCAACATGGAATCATGTTTCCTTGACATTGGTATTGAAGATCTCCAACATATTTCAAAATTCATTTACATTGTGAGCGTGAAGTTGTTGTGTCTAGATCAGCAACATTGTCATCAAATACTAGAGCTTCTTTCATGCTTATCGAAATTTGAATCCTCATTTTGGTTTTTCAATTTCACTTCTAACTTGTGAAACACCCTCCATTGATTACAAAAATATTAAAAATATTAAAATGGGCTTCTTTGCATTTAACGATACTTTGGTTTTTGAATTCAGAAAAAACATAATCATATTGTTCAAGGGATTTCATTCTCAAGCTAGAGTACTCTAGTTAATAGCTCCTAGGGAGCCTTGACTATAAGCTGAATGGACCTTGATCCTATATACTTTATCATTCAATCCTAGACCAATTTGGAGCGTGCTCTCTTCGTGTTGGGATCATGATCCTTCGAACAGTATATGGATCTCGATTTCTATCCCATGGATCTTCGTGCATCTCTTGATCTTGTGGTCCCAATCCCAATCCCTATCCGGGATCTGGCCTCACTCCCGATTCCAATAATTATGGTACAGGGGACCGTAAGTATGCCTAGCAACAAATGCTTGCATTTTGGGCCAAGGAGGGTGCCTAGGCTCTTGGTGACTGCTTAGTCTAGCCTCTTAGCTCAGGGGATACCTTGATGACCCCTAGCCGAGGGCAGAAATGGCCCTTGGTGGGGGCATTTGGTTTCATATCCTTCCTTATAAGGGGTGAAAAGGGTTTTAGGGTAGTGTTAGAAGCCCCTCTTCCCCCTCCCCTCTCTTTTTCCCAAAGCAAAAGGAAAAAAAAGGGGAAAAAAGGGAAAACCATAATTATTTGGGTTTTATAGAGAGAGACTGAATCAAAATAAAAACTTTTTATGATTTATTGAAGATCGAAGAAGCTTTCGAACCTTTTGATTTCTTGCGAAATGGAAAAGATATAATCAAATTGTTTGTGACTTGAAGGGCTGGTAAAAGAGGTGTTATGGCAATCAAAGCTCGTTTATTCGAGGCAATTTGATTAGGCTTTCTAAAAGTTAGCATATTACTAATTTTGGTTTAGAGTTTGGTGATATTTTGGAATATTGAGTGTCAATTTTTTTGAATATCAGTTTGTATTTTTTGTGTTGTTTTCTTCAAGAGTGGGTTTGGGTTTGAGTTTATTGACGTTTTGTTAAGATTGGGCTATATCTCTTAATAAAATATCAATAAGCTTATGCATTGTAGGACTTTTTTTATTTGTTAGTCCTAGAATTGTCCTAAAATTGAAAATGGGCAATAAAGCTATTTTTTTTGCTCATGATTTCTTTTTAATATTTGGTGTGGCAATAATGATTTTTTTTTAATATTTGGGTTATTAGATATTTTTCATTTGATGATTTTTCTAGTTTTGATTTTGCAAATTACTAATATTTTGCTAGGTTGGGTTCCTTTATTCAATACTTGAGTTTGATTTGTTGCATCCTAGCCTTTGAAGTATTTGTCTTCAAGATAGTTTTGGTGGGTTTATGCAATTTTGAGGTTTGGTGGTTACCTGTTGAGTAGGTGACAATGTCTTATCCCAATCCCAATAGACAAGTTCACCCAGTTGGGAATAATGCAAATTGCCTAATGAAGGTGATAGGAATAGGGTGCAATGTAGATTTTGTTATGGGAATCATAATGCTGGCATTTATAAAATGATG